CTTTGCTGAATAACCAAAAATGAATGGTGACAGTAAACATCTTAACTGAGAAAATATTCATAAATGTGGATGTTTTGGCAAGCATTCATCATAACCCTTTATTTACAAGAACGACCAGGAAAAAAAATCTTCTTCAAAGATAAAAAAAACATTCCTTCAAGAAGTTCCCTTTGTCCACAGAAACATTTAGGATGGTTTAGCTGACAATCCGAGTGCTGTTTGTCTTGTTTTGTTTTATTGGAAAATAATTTGCTGATAAAGCAGTACCAAAGAAGTAAAGAAACTGTCATTAATTATTGAACAAATGCACAGCACTGGAGCAAGAGTCTGTAAAACTTCTAATTCATAGATCTGGATTGAACAAGAACACCCCAACTGAGATAAACACTGGTTATTCATGTCTTCATATCTATGTTTGTTATCCTAATAAACACAAACATGTGCCCAAATATCAGTTCTGTTTAGAGTAATATTAGAGTTACATTTATCACAATTTCCTTGTGCAAAGCCACTGCTTTGTCTGGTCAGCAGGTGGTGATGTTCTTCATGTAGAAAGCTGACTAAACTTCAACAGTGTGGATTTACTGCAATATGATCTCATTTATCAAATAAAAACCCAGACTAAAGCAAAGTTATCTCTAAAAAACAAAGACACATTCTCAGAACTAAAAATTACTTTTGGCTTTAGGGGTCAGAGACTATCATCTTCCCATGTGAGTGCTGGCTCGCCAAGTCAGAAGACGATGGAGAAACAATCCGAGAGCTACAGCCTTCTGACATCATTACTGAGAAACTTGCTAGAGATGGCAGCCTGAAAGTAACTGAGGTGGAAGTGGAAGATGCCTTAGAGAGTATGCTATCTTTGTCCTTTTGTCTTTGTTTATCCCCATTTATAATTTGCTTTTATGACAAATGTGTAAGAAGAAAATTGCTGTGTATTTTGTTAATTATTAATGCCAAGATAGAAAGTCATTTGTGATTGTTTGTTATTGTAATTCCTACCACAGCTCACACATACAATGTCTCAGTGATGACGGGTGATGTAAACGGTGCTGGAACCGATGCCAATGTCTTCCTGACAATTTATGGAGACCTTGGGGACACTGGAGAGAGAAAGCTGAGCAAGTCCGAAACAAACAGCAACAAGTTCGAACGTGGATCTGTAAGAAAGCATTTTCTGACATGCAGTATTTCAGTTAAGCTGAACAGTAATTTTAAACAGTATTAGTACCCATTTAATTGTCCTAATTTTTTCCTTAAATAACCAAAACTTTAAATACATTTTACTTTGTGTTTATGTGATAGGACACAAAGCAGAGCATTATTGTAAATATGAATTATTTTTGTGCAGTAAGCATTTATATCCTGCCTTCCTGCACCAATAATGTGTATGGATACCTTCTGCTAAAATTTACAGTTTTTTGGTATGCCATTTTCGCCTTTACAGACTGATTTTTATGGCCACTCTCCTTTGTAAAGTAACAAAACTTAGTCAGATATGATGTATCAGGATACCTTAATTTTACCTTACCTTTACAGGGAGCTTTGATGAGTATTAATGACTTTCAGGTTAGGCCGTTCAAACACAGGTCACATTTGAAAAGATCAGATATGTATTGGATTTAGGAACACATAAAAATATGGCCTGGGTCGCTTTTGAAAGAAATCAGATCTGTGTTTTTTAGACTGTCATGAAAAAATCAAATACAGGTCACACACTGTGAAAAAAAAAATCGGATTTGGATCACTCCAGGCTGCAGTGTGAATGTAGCCAAAGGTTTTTGTAGCCTAGAACCTGATATTTTCCAGTATGGTGTGAACTTATTACAGTCCATCTTCCTTTCAACTTTGATCAACTTCCTTGTCCTGCTGAATAGTAGCATCCGTACAGCATAATAGAGTCCTAAATTGTTTGACAGTGCATCCAGCGTAAAGGCAGGTAATAGTTTTGCCTCATTCACAGAGACTTACAGGTCAAAGGTTTGATTTTGTTGACAACTGAAAAGAGTCATAGCTTATAAGAATCTTCAAGCAGAATTTAATGTGGTTTGTTTCATCAAAGACTTTTTTCTTGACAAACTTCCATAAAGGAATACTTTTGGAGTTTACCTCACAACACAACAGATTTTCCCATCTGAGCAGCAAGTTTCTGCTGCACCTACTGATACTATTAGTATTGGACCATTGACTCTTTTTCTAAGTTATGTTGCACTTGCCCCCTCAGTTTAGGTGGACAACCATGTCTAGGTTGGTTTGGAGGTGTCTTATGAGATGCTCAAAAATATAAACGGAACATGTAATCAACACAATATAACTTAAATCGAATAAAACTCCTGTGAAATCAAACTGTCCACTTAGGAAGCAACACTGATTTTTTTCAAATAATTTTACATGCTGTGGAAATGGAATAGACAATAGGTGGAAATTACAAGACACACTCAAAAAAGAAGTGGTCCTTCAGGTGGGGACTACAGACCATTTCACAGTACCTATGCTCTCTGGCTGATGTTTTTATCACTTTTAAATGTTGGCGGTGCTCTCACACTTGTGGTAGCCTGAAACAGACTTTACAACCCACACTAGTGGCTCAGGTAGTGCAGCTCATCCAAGATGGCACATCAGTGAGAGCTTTGGCAAGAAGATTTGCTGTGTCTGTCAGCGTAGTGTCCAGGTACACAAGGTTATGTGGAGTGGGCCGTAGAAGGGCAACAACCTAGCAGCAGGACCTCTACCTCCACATTTTTGCAATGAGGAACAGGTAGAGCACTGCCAGAGCCCTGCAAAATGACCTCCAGCAGGCCCCAAATGTGCTTGTGTGTGCACAAATGGTTAGAAATTGACTCCATGAGGATGGTATGAGGGCCCGACGTCCAAAGATGGGGTTTTGCTCACATCCCAATACCGTGCAGGATGCTTGGCATTTGTCAGAGAACACCAGGATCTGGAGAGACCGTGGAGAGTGATCTGCTACATCCTTCATCATGACTGGTTTGACAGTGGGTCAGTAATGGTGCTGGATAGGCATTTCTTGGAGGGGCGCATAGCGCTCTATGTGCTCACCAATGGTAGCATGACAGCTATTAGATACTGAGATGAGATCCTGAGACCCCTTGTGAGACCATATGATGCTGCAGCTGGCCCTTGGTTCCTCCTAATGAAGGACAATACTAGACCTCATATGGTTGGAGTTTAACTTTTGCATGTGACTCCAAAGCCAGCAATGCTCCCCATCATTAGTTAGAACAGAGGAATTGATTGATTATTTTTGTTTGAATTTGTTGTCACCACATTCAACTTCGTACAGAACAAAGTATTCAATGACAATATTTTATTCAATCAGATCTAGGATTCGTTATTTGAGTGTTCCCTTTATTTTTTTGAGCAGCGTACTTAGTCTATTTTTAAATGATGGATTTTACTGCTGTGTGATTTGTTCAAAGCTTAGGTTATTATTTCATCACATAACCTAGCATTAAAACTACCCCCAAATGTATCCCTAAACTGTCTGGTGTATTTCCAGGTCTTGATGATCTGCTTGCCCTCTGATGTTCTCTAATTCTGTCTAACGTAGCTTTGAGGCAGTGCAGAGCAGCTGCATTTACACACTCAAATTGTTATTTCAGAGATTTAGAATAAGCAGGGAGTAAAGACATCAACATAACAACTGTCATATATTTTTCTTTTAAAACTTCAAAAAGAGTTTGTAAATATAATGAATTTTCCCCTAAACACCATATGTTATGATGCATTAGTCTTTAACATAAAACACAAATTTTCCATTAATATGAATGCTTTTGCAGGGTAATACATTTATAGTGTATGCTTATCTAATTTATCATCACCTTTACTTCCAGGTGGATAAGTTCACAATAGAAGCAGTGGACCTCGGCCAGGTTTTTAAGATAAAAATCCGCCATGATAACAGCATGATGAGTCCTGATTGGTACTTGGACCAAGTGGAGGTGTTGGACATTGATACAGAGGAGGTCTACTTGTTCTTATGTGAGCGTTGGCTCTCCAAAAAGAGGGAGGATAGGCTCATAGAAAGAGTCTTCTATGTGAAGGTAACATGCATGACAATTAAACTTAATCACCATAACCTTTTCATTTGGCACAAAATATAAGCTAGTTAGCTGGGTGGATGGATGAAAGTATACAAAGGACACCTATATGCTTTAGTTTGTCCTTGTCTTTCAAAAGCTATGCAATGTAATAAAGCAGGGTTTAGCTAAAGATAATGAAAGAGATTTATAAACTATCATCATTGCAGTGCAGAAAGTCATGGTTACACTGCTGCGATGCAGTAATCTAACCAGATTTCCTGCAGTCAGGAATCTCCTGTCACTGTCTCTATTGCTCTCTACTACCAATCTCCAGCTGACATTATCATTTTTTTTATTTAATCACAGTTACATTACCCTTCTACTAGCAAAGCACCGGTGAGGCTGCATGACATAATTTACCGTAACGTTTCAGGGTTATGAAGGTGTCAGAGAGAGCTTGAAGAGTAAAAAGACTCCTACCTTGGCTGTGAAGAGTGTTGACAGTAATATGAACAAAAAGAGCAAGAAAAAGAGAGAGGAAGAAATGGTGTTACCAAGTAAGAAATGTTCACACCTGCATCCTGCCTTTATAGGGATGGGAACAATCACTTCCCTAAATTAATTTCCTTTCCCCTGGCAGTCATACCATACCACATCACCATCTGCACTGGGCTGGAGCGTGACGCCAGCACCACCAGCAGGGCTTATGTGATCATAATTGGAGTCAATCACACCCAGACCGAGAGGCTGTGGCTTGACCTGCCTGATGGGAGAAAGGGCTTCCGGGCTGGCTCTTTAGAGAACTTCGAAGTCCATGGTTCAGATGTGGGGGAGATTAAAAGGGTGGAGGTGAGTGAACGGGTGAAGCTTTTAAGGTTTCAGTGAGGAATGGGCACTTCAATGCCTTCTCAAACACCCACACATTCACCAAAGTGCAGGAAAAGTATAGCCTTGTTGTTTGAAGTGATTGTTCTTTCCCCTCCCTGTAGCTTGGCCATGATGGGGCCACTCCGGAGAGCTGCTGGCTCGTTGATGAGCTGGCTGCTGCTGTGCCAACCAAAGGGGTCAAATATATCTTTGCATGCAAGTGCTGGCTGGCCAAAGATCGAGGAGATGGCTTGACTTCTAGAGTATTCAATGTGCTGGATGCAGAAGCCATTGCTATCTCTCAAAAGGTTTGTAAATGAAAGTAAAATTCAATCAATAGTATTTCTTGTGCTTCACTTTAAAACCAGATAAAAATGGCTCCACAAGCAAAAAAAAATAAATAAATAAAGGTGTATATAATCTTACCATGTGATATTTCAGTCGCACTACAACTTTAGAATTTTAAAATCCTGTTTTTAATGTGGCCTTTTGTAAAATATGAGTGTTTTATAAATTTGCTTCTCTACAGTAGTAGTAGTGATGTAATGTAATACGCTGAGTTTTTTCAAGCTTTAAAGCAGGGTTCTGAAACTCAAATCCTCGAGAGTTGGTGTCCTGCTTCTTTTAGGTGTGTTCCTTGCCCAACACACCTGGATCAAATGGTTAAACTACCACCTAGCATCAGTCAAGCTCTGCTAATGAGCTCATATTGGTGTCAGGTGTGTTGGAACAGAGACACTTCTAAAAGTTGCATGTTGCTTGCAGATTTGGGTTTGAGACCTCTGCTTTAGAGGGATCGTTGCAGGATTTTTCTACCATTTGGTTGAACAATAATTTGGTGGTACTTCACAATTTCTTATAACCTTGATGATTTTTATCTGTTAGAATAATGTCAATTTTCTCGATATATGGCACCTATAAAAGTAATTTGGCATGATTTTTTTATTATGTTGTTTAATCTTCTGGGTTGATGCTTCGCGGTTAATTGACAAATGTATGATTCATAAAGTCATTGGGAGTGATAAGCTAATCATGGCGTGCCATAATCACAGAACAGAACCTTGGTATTACCATCACTTTTGACCATCATATCATTTTAAAGACAAAATTCACTATATCTTGTTTGAAAAGTACTCAATCCTGTCACAGTTATGTCTATAAATATTTGCAGTTCTTATTTTTTAATAATTCTTGATCAAATTAATAATTTTGTTACCACACACAAAACATGAATTAATAGAATAAGGTTTATGTCATCTTGTTAGTAAAATGTGTGAAATACATTTGTTAATGATGAAAAAAGGACTAGTTTTTTCAAATTTTCTTTTCCCCTTTAACTGTATTTCTGTAAAAAAAAAAAAAAAAAACAGCAACAGCAAACAACTTTTCATACACTATTCCTACAATAAGGAAACAATAAAAGGCCTCAGACCACCTCTTCATAACATCTTTCAACAGTGCTTGGATCTGTTTTTTGATATATCTTAGAACAACATTTATAATAATTAATTATTCCCTTGGCATGAGTGATCAACTGTTATAATTTGAGCAGATTTAACTAAAAAAAAGCAGTAGGTGTCAAACACGGTTTTACTCTGAGATTATAATAATAATTTCTGATTAATACAATTAGCATGGGGAGTTTACTACAGCAGTGGTTTATGTTTGCACTGCCTGGAAAATGCGTCTTAACCCAAAGCTTTCCAAAAGGCGGCAAACATTTCAAAACAAATGAAACAGGTAACCTTGCAGTAATACATTTCATTTTAACTGCTGAAAGTTTTCATTTATCCCACTTTGAAAGAAGAGATAAGTCTCAACATGTTTCAAAGAATACAGGTTTGATTAACATCATTGTGCGACCAAGTGAACCTTGGTAGAGCTAACCTATTGTGTGTTCAACAGGCTAATTTTGGACTTTCTGACCATAGAATCACTGATTAGTGCCGATCAATGGGGGGAAAAAAATCATCTAATTGGGGCTTGTTTTGTTTTCTGATATAAGAAATATCTTCTGGTTTTCAGCTTATATATGAGATTACAGTTGTTACTGGAGATGTGCAGAATGCTGGAACAGACACCAAGATCTTCATGTCTGTGTTTGGTGCCAACGGCAGCACAGAAGAGATTTTGCTCCAGAAGAATGAGGACAGGTGGCCTAAACATGTTTATATGCTTTTCAAATTCCTCCTTCAACTCTCTGCTTTTGAAATAAATGTCACTAAGGATTAAGAACAATAAGCTGTATCTTGTGGAGGACAGATTTGAGCGCGGTCAGGAAGACACTTTCAACGTGGAGATTGATGACATCGCTCCACTCAGGAAAATGAGGCTTCGTATTGATGGCTCAGGCAGTCGACCAGACTGGTTTCTTGACAAGGTGAGCTCACAGTATCAACCCTTGCATCTTTGACAAATCTTTTTAGATTTGTCAATTACATTCAAAGCCTCATTGTATTTTACTGGGTTTTTATGTGACAGATTAAGACAAAATAGCCCATAGGAATGGAAAAGAAAAGAAAAGCATTCATTCTCTTTTATTATATATTTTTACTGATAACAAATGTGTGCTAAAAGGTTATTCAATTCCCTTTTATTGAGGACAAAGAGAGTTACTGAAAAAGAAAACCAGAATTTGTTTCGAATGTAACATTTTAATCAGGCAATTTGAAATCAAAATTGAAAAGCATTTTATTATTCCGCATTTCAAAATCAATTATTAAAGAGGAACTGTAAATTGTAATTAATCAATTATTAAATACTGGAATTTGAAAATTTATTTTTGAATTGCCTTTTCTACTTTGAAAGTTAGAAAACTAAATTCATAAATCTTTTTATAAAAACCTTTTTCTAATCACACATGTAAAAAGGTTATTCCTTATTCCAATTTGTTTTTTTTTTACCTGCCTTTTCAAGTCCTACTTCTAATTGCATGTTCTTTTTACTTTACCCTCTCGATTTACCTTTTCCATTACCCCTTTGAGCCCTGAACACACTGGAAATCAGTTAAGATCTCCCATTGGTTGTACTGCAACACTTGGTCAACAAAAAGACCAATGAGGGAGCTGGTTACAGCTGAGGAGAAACTGTGATTGGTTAAACTGGTTTACCAGTGTGCTCAGGGACCAGAAGGGTCACACAAAATGTGAATGGAGAGGGGAAAGTATAAAGGTAATGCAACTGCAAAAGGGATTTGAAAATGTAAAGTGAAAAAGAAAACAGAAAAGGAAAAACCTTTTAAAATGTGTGATTAGGAAAATGGTTTTAAAATTTGATTGTTAATTTTTGTTTTTTGAATATCCATTTAGAAATAGGATTTTAAAATCCAAATTGCAGTATTTAATGATGGATAATGGATACAATTTACAATTCCTCTTTAATAATTCAATTTAAAATGTAACATAAACTTTTGAAATCATATGATTTAAATATTAGAATTTAAAATGGCAGGTTTTCTTTTTCAGTGACTCTCCTTGTCTGCCATAGACTTTAATGAGACAACCCTAAATACAATTCAGCACATTTAAATGCTTCCAGAAACTTAAAAAAATTGGCTATACGCCAAGACACAAAAAATGTGTAAGAAGCTTGCCAGGGCCTCAGCCAAACACACATTCCCATGTTAGAATATGGTGTTGGTAGCATTACCCTATGGGGATGTTTTTTTAGGATCTCCAGGGAAATCCTGAGAAACCATGTAAAAGGTGACTAAAGATTTATGACTTGCATCATATCAACCTTTAAACACATAAAGATATGTTCTAGATCAAAGTATCCTTATAGGGTATATTGTTCATTCTTGGTCAAATACAACTGATCAATGAGGCAAGACTTGAAAATTCCTGTCAGACGCGCTCCACTGAATATAAATGAGACTAGTTAAAAAATAGTATAACTCAAGCCAATAGAGAACTAATTGAATACAGTTTTCTATAAAGAATAAATTCAAATGAGGTGAATCCGAATGTGTTACAAAAACATTCAGGTTTATCTACTGGTTTATGCTGAACCTTGTTGAAATTTCAGCTTTAAAGCTTTAATAGGGTGGAACATCTCTGGCATGCTAACGCTGTGTCTGCTAAAGGCATGGTGCTTGCAGGGCAACAGAGAAGTTGGTGAGAAATCCCATCCTGTCTCCATTTTCACCAGGGACTCTGCTACTGTGAGAATCTCCTTGAGTTACCCTTACGCAGGGCTTTGTGTGTTCAGCATCACAAGCAGATATCTTGCCTTTGCAAAAAAGTCAGTCTGTGTATTGAATTTATCTCGACGGCTGACCTGGTGAGCATGCAGAATAATAATGCAAAAAGCTGAGCCAATAGGAGAGAGGCTTAAGATAAAACATAGAAGACACTGCTTTGATAAATTTAATTTATCTATGCATGCCCTAATCTAGTAAAGGCTCAACCCTCATAATAAACTGGTGCATATGCAACAAATACACTTAATTTTTTTTATATTTCACTTCTGGTTGATTAACATGAGTTATGTTAATAAACAACAGTGTATTAATATTTATTTCTATATTGCCAGGATCTTACAAAACAAAATCCAATGTCATCTCCTATGATTTCCTTTAGTGTGATTGACAGCTTTGCTGCTTCATGTTGGCATTATTTTAATACCTGTTTTGAATACAGGTGATCATGCGTAACCTGAGCACAGAGGAGGTGTCTGTGTTTACCTATGAGGAATGGCTGTCCAAAACTCGTGGACCTAAGAGGACAATGATCTGCGAGATGCCTGCTGTGGTGGAAGAGGAGGTGATGGTGGAGCTGACCACTTACATCATCCAGGTCAAGACAAGTGATGTCGCAGGTACGTTTGAAATTCCTCCAGAGAGCTTTGAAACAGACAAAAAATAAATAAATCTGAAGGAGAAATGCTTTTTGCTCTCAAGTTTCTGTGAATACTCTTAAAGGAAACTCAGAATATAGGTTGAATTTTAATACCGCTATATTATTAGCTTCTTATTAAAAGCTGGTTAATAAATATTCAGAGTCCATATATATTATCACACTTACAAAGACTATTCATTTAAATGCGCGGAGCCAAGAGATAAGCATAGCGTAAAAAAACATAAAGCAAGCATTAAGCAGCCCAGAACCTAGTCTAAATTTGCCAGAGTGATAATGATAATATAGAGTAACTGTGATTGCAAAATCTTCTTCTCAAATGTCAGTTCAGACGTATATTACATTTATGTGGGGATTTATTCAGTAAAAATGGAGAAGTGTGGAAAGTTTTGTTTGAGAAAAGTAGCGGGGTTACCTTGCAAAAATAATTAGGAAGTATTCTGTGCTAAGCCAACTCTGATAATTGATCGATGTTTGATTGATTGATCTGACAGCTCTTTCTTCTCTTTTATAGTTATATATCTATATATCTCTATATTTCCTAACAACTGTGTTACCAAAATACTTTGAAATAGTGAATTCTGTTGTGTAAACTTGAATGAAAGCAGCTGATGGTCTTGTTTCCTCCACAAAATCTATTGTTTTTTAGGGACTATTTTACTTTTAACCCCAGCATATAACAGTCAAACATTACTTTGAGCTTGTTGTTGATCTTATAACTCACCTACAGAAGTTGTCTCATAATTTGTTACTTTACCCTAAAAAGCCACTCTGAGCTTTTACAACTTAATTAAAATGTTATTATGCAAACTGTTGTTGATCTGGGCCAGAGACTGAGAAAAAAAGCTGCTTCTATAGTTAATTATGCTGGGTACACATCCATGCTGAGCATTCAGAGAGATTGCTTATTAATTCAACAATTCAGTTCAATTTATATAGCACCAGTTGATAATGCTTTACAGAGATGATACAACCAGATCTTAGAGTCAGATTGGTTCAAAGTTTTCAATCTAAGGAAAACCAGTTGATTTAATCGACTCATTGACTTGAAGGCAATCCCTCACACCAAGCATGCTTGTAGCAACAGTGGAGAGGATAACTCCCTTTTAACTGGAAGAAACCTCCAGCAGAACAAAACTAGGCTCATTGTGAGTGGCCATCTGCCAAGGCCTTATGGGGTTCAAGGGACAGAAGCAGACATACAGAAAGAAGCAGAGCTACTGTTACCCAGCTCCACAGGCGGCCCCGTCCAGGAAACACACAGCCAGGCAGACAAGCTCTGCACCAGCTCCCATGTCAAAGGATCAAAGAGAGGACATACAGTTAGTCACAGTCAGAGAAACAGGAATACGTTGAAAAACAGACCAAGCTCTAACAGATAAACAAAGGTGTTGATGGCAGCAGCACATCTGATATTTCTCTTCAGGATGGGGCCACAGCCAAACAGGAACAGACCAGATTAAGTTACTATGAGAAAAAGCAGAGAGAGCATAATGTTAGCGATTGAACAAACAGATTATTCAGAATGCGAGAAAAGAGATAGAATGAAACAGAATGATAAAAAGGGGTCCCTATGTCCTCCAACAGTTTAGGCATATAGCAGCATAAGTAGAGAGATAGCTGAGGATAACCGGAGCCCCTGTAACTATAAGCTTTATCAAAAAAGACATTTTTAAGTCTGCCCTTAAAAGTAGACAAGCAAAGTGCTCTGTTTGGAACATAAGGAACAATCATATCACTGATATAAGATGGAGCTTGGCCATTTAAGGCTTTATATGTGGGCAGGAGGATCTTAAAACAACAATTATGGTTTTAAAACAACAATATAATTACCAGATTATTTTATGGACAAACAAAAAGTAAAAATCTTTATAAAACACTTTTACCTCCAACAAGAAGATTATGTTTTCAGGAGAATTTGTGTGTGTGTGTGTGTGTGTCTCTCTGACTGTGTACAGGGTAACTTGAAAAGTTATAAACACGTTTTAAAGATTTTTTTACCAAAGGGGCACCTCAGTCCACAGATAATCCTTTACATTTTGGAAAGTTAGACATTTTTAAAGGCTTCCCTAACATTTTTTTTATAGAACAAGCAGTCCCCCCTAAACCAGACAGTGGCAGCAGTGACTTTTTTATAAATTCAGCATCGGTATTATAATGAAGACAAATAATACAAAAACACAGTTAAAGGGAGCCATGCCTCCCTCCAAGTCTCTACAGTATCTGCTGATCAAAGAAAAGAGCAGAGTGAATGAAAGAGAGAGCAGAACTGACACCAAAGGCTGCAGGAACATGCTGTGCCAAAAGATTCTAAAAAGTTTTTTACCGTAGGTGCGCTACATGTCAAGGAACAGTTCATTAAAATTTGGTTGATATCCAGAATATATTTAGCTCTACTATAGGTGTAAGTTAAAGTTTCAGCTATAGCTGTAAGTCAAATTATGGGGCTGAATTTGCTGCTTGCCGAAGGCTTTTCTGGTGTTAAAAAATGGTAATCTCACAAGGCACACATATGACACCTCAATGGTCCTGCAGCTTTAGTTTTCACGTTAAAGTTTTTTTTTTATATAATCCAGAGGGGAAATAATTTTTATACCCTTTACTTATTTGCATTTACCAAATTCTAACCTGCTTAGTGGGATCCATAGGAGAAATAAAGTGCTTACTCCATTCTATGGTGCTTTGCTATGGAGATGCACACTTACATTCAACAAACTCATGTGAGAAAGATCCTTATTGACAAGAAACAATTTAATTAATATTTACAATCATAAGCAGTTATGCAGTGTTTTCAGATAATACAATATGGTAACATTTACTTTTTAGGTTGTATGTTGGAAAGCCTACTAGAAATACTCAAAAAAAGGGAAAGGCTTATTTTCAAGTTTGTCTGATATTATGGCTTTAAAATAATACATTTATTAAATAGGTATTAGACTATAGAATTATGAGTCATAAAGTAATATCAGTTATGAGAGACGGTGAGATACCATAACTTCATGCAAAAAACTATCAAGTTACCAGTTGAAAGGATTAAAGATTAAAAAGTTAAAAATGAAATCATGGAGGAATTTGCTTGAAATGTTTTTTAATTTTAACATTTTGAGCACGCCTGAGAGGTAAAAGAAGTTATTTGATTTAGAGTCGGGCAGCGTATGGGGCCATTTCAGGTCTACCTATCAGGAACAGAGTCATCCATCCATTCAGCCACCCTTTCATCTCAGGTCAGCAGCAGGTTAAGTTCTGGGGTGTTCAAACTGAGGAGAGCAGCTCAGACAACCTCTTTCATCACAGACATCCTTTAGCTCTGCCAGGAAGATCCCACTGGACTATGTAGTTAACAAGAACCTTTCATCTGTCAACTGTGTCAATTTGTTTTTAACACCACTTTCAAAGGGATACATCTGTCCGTGGTGGATTTTGAACCCCCATCTCATCAGCATTACAAATGCTGATTGTAACTAAGATCAATACTAAAAAGTAACTAAATACATCTCAGTCTATCCTGTTTGTTACAGTCGAAAGCTCAGATTGTGTATGTTCATTTTTCTCTTTTCTCGAGGTGTCCTTGTTCAGAGGTTTCCTGCAGGATGAAAAAGAGAAATATTTCACATTTGACTCCCGCATGGTGATGAAAGAAATGCCCTTTAGAAGTCGTCCACACCGCTGTGCCGTATTTTCTTCCTTCAGTATTTTCACACTTGTACCCCTGATCAATATGATAGCATAGCGAGAAGTCTGAGCAGACTTCAAAAGAATACTCTTTGCCTCTAGCTGTTACAAGAAACAAGGATGCAGCTCTGCAGCAAATGTTGTAGATCTGGGAACAAGAACTGCCAAAATGAAGATGACACAGGCACATGCATGCAAATGACAGTAAATAGGTGAGAGGGTGCATGCATGCAGAAACTGGTATCAGTTCATTTTTGAGACTTTGTGGTATTATTTTTGTGTAAAATTGTTTAAAATATTTTTTAATAGCATGTTTATTTGTTTTTGGTTTATTTGTTTTTGCAAGTGTTTGTTACTCAAAATTCCCCTTTAAAATGGCTACTGCTTATGGCTGAAAAAATAGCATTGGTTCATTTTTTACAGCCTATATAAATATTTTGCGCAGGTCTCTCTAAGGAAAAATGTTCACATTTCATTTTTATTTTAAATATGTGGACATAACCTAAGTTAATTTACAATCAGAGAGATCCTGCCCACATTTGACTAGATTCAAAAAGGTAATTTAGTTTTGTGATTTTGGAAAGGAGTTTATTTTGTTTAAAGAATAAGGCTAGAATAAAACGGAGCACTCTGTATTATGTACCTTCTTGGTTTTTAATTCTTAATGTATCTCTGCTCTTACCGCTCAGGGGCCGGCACCGATGCCAATGTGTGGGTCATTGTTTTTGGAGAGAATGGTGACACGGGGACACTAGCACTGAAGGAGTCCGTTAAGTCCAACAAATTTGAGCGTAAGCAGGTGGACACCTTCCGATTCCCTGAAATCCTCAGCCTGGGAGACCTCTCCAAAGTCAGAGTTTGGCACGATAACACAGGTTGGCTATTCCAATAAACACTTACTCTATAAATTGGACTAATTAAAATTGGACAGATGACATAAAGTTAGCTGAAATTAACCACCTGGAATTTAAAGACCATTTTGACTAAGTTTGTTTTGATTTCTGTTACTTCTTCTGTGATATTATAAACCTATTTTTGGTATCCTATCTGTCTTGCTTTGCTAAAAGAGGAAATTGTATGAGCAACTGCTTTTATTTCTAATGCTTATATTCCACTTGTGAAGCTAGAGCTGCATTTTACAAAAGTGCTAAATGAATAAAGCCTGACTTACCACACAATTTATGACTTAAAAAGGGTCCATTAACATTAATAATGACATTTATTTTTCATTTAATGTAATGAATTGATAAAAACTAAAGCAAAAATAAAAAATCATCTAATATAAATTAATACTGTAATGTTGGAATAGTTACAAACCATTTTGTTTTGCTAGAAAAATAAAAAAAAGTTCAATGTTCTTCTGCTCACAAACTGAATAATTACATGATGAAATAAAATGAGAAATATTGCATTCATTTCCCCATGTATTCCAACCTCAGAGCATTCATTGCTTTGAATAAATGCACATTTTTTCTTACATTATTTACATAACATTTTTTATAAGGTAACTTATAATTAATAAAGCTAACTCCTCCATCAAAGAAGTAAAGCTACAGTCAAAAAAACACTTTTTGGGACACAATTTCCTGAGTAGGTAAACTTTATAAACCATAAAAGTTGTATAAACTTGATTTTCTTTTATATTTCTTTTCATAAATGAAAGGAAGAAATGTATGGGACAGTTCAGAATTTGGCACCATCATTACATTTTTTTCTCCACTGCTTTCAGTCTGTTTGTGAACCAGTAGGAGCCTGTGTAAGACAGGACATAGAAATGTTGTAAATAGAACTGCTAAGCCGTAAAGTGTCTTAAAGCAATCCAAAATCCTCCCATAAATTCCCAGCACTGCTCAATTTAGATTTATATTAATATGGCAATTTACATAGTTTTTGTCCAAGTTCCTTCTCAGAATGAGAGCAGTGGTGCTAATTATCAAAAAATAAAATAAAATACTGTTTTAAACATCTCCCTTAAAATGGGTGAATGCATTATATTTTAGACAAATTACTCTCCCTTTTTTCCTGTTTCATTTATTATGCAGGTCCTGCACCAGGTTGGCACTTGGAGCACATTGATGTGAAGGATGAGTTTATGGACAAAACATTCCGGTTTCCATGTGACCGCTGGCTTTCCAAGAAGGACGACGATGGGCAGATAATGAGAGAGCTGGCCTGTGCCAACAATGACTATTTAGACCTGAACGAAAAGACTAGTAAGCTCATTCTGTGAAACTATTTATCCAGTGATGGTTGAAATGATTTGATTATACACTGCCTGGCCAAAAAAAAAGTCACCACCAAAAAAAAAGGTCACTCACTCCAATACTTTGTTGGACCACCTTTAGCTTTGATTATGGCATTGTTTCGATAAGCTTCTGCAATGTCAAAAGATTTATTTCCATCCAGTGTTGCATTAATTTTTCACCAAGATCTTGCATTGATGATGGTAGAGTCTGACCGCTGTGCAAAGCGCTCTCTAGCACATCCCATAGATTCTCAATGGGGTTGAGGTCTGGACTCTGTAGTGGCCAATCCATGTGTGAAAATGATGTGTCATGCTCCCTGAACCAGTTTTTCACAATTTGAGCCCGATGAATCCTGGCATTGTCATCTTGGAATATGCCTGTGCCATCAGGGAAGAAAAAGTCCATTGATGGAATAACCTGGTCATTCAGTATATTCAGGTAGTCAGTTGACCTCATTCTTTAAGCACATACTGTTGCTGAACCTAGACCTGACCAACTGTAGCAACCCCAGATCATAACACCGCCCCCACAGGCTTGTACAGTAGGCACTAGGCATGGTGGGTGCATCACTTCACCTGCCTCTTCTTACCCTGATTTGCCCATCACTCTGAAACGGGGTAAATCTGGACTCATCAGACCACATGACCTTCTTCCATTGCTCTACAGTCCAATCTTTATGCTCCCTAGCAAATTGAAGCCTTTTTTTTTTCTGGTTAGCCTCACTGATTAGTGGTTTTCTTGCGGCTACACAGCTGTTCAGTCCCAATCCCTTGAGTTCCCTTCGCATTGTGCGTGTGGAAATGCTCTTACTTTCAGTATTAAACATAGCCCTGAGTTCTACTGTTGTTTTTCTTCGATTTGATCTCACCACACGTTTAAGTGATTGCCGATCACGATCATTCAGGATTTTTTTCCGGCCACATTTCTTCCTTGAAGCTGATTGGTCCCCACTATCCTTCCAGTTTTTAATAATGCGTTGGACAGTTCTTAACCCAATTTTAGTAGTTTCTGCAATCTCTTTAGATGTTTTCTCTGCTTGATGCATGCCAATGATTTGACCCTTCTCAAACAGACTTAACATCTTTTCCACGACCACGGGATCTGTCTTTCGACATGGTTGTTTAGGAAATGAGAAGCAAGTCATTGCACCAGTTGGGGTTAGATAACTTATTGCCAGCTGAAAGATAATCGCCCATGCAGTAATTATCCAAAAGGAGGCTCATACCTATTTGCTTAGTTGAATCTAGGTGGCGACTTTTTTTTTGGCCAAGCAGTGTATTTTTCTGTTCAGAATTGCACCTGATGTGAAATATTCTTTATCTTATTGGCATAGCAGAGATGAGTCAAACCCACTATCTACATATCTTTTTTTTCCCTCATCCATGCAGTTTGGTAAACAGTATAAGAAACTTAAACCATTTTTGGTCAATTTACACCAGGCTTTCTGGATTCCAGTCCTCAAGGTCCGCTGTCCTGCACCTTTTATATGTGTCTCTGCTTCAGCACACCAAATTCAAATAATCAGGTCACTGGCAGCACTCTTGAGAACTTGACTTCATGCTAAGGAGGTAATTCAGCCATTTAGTTCAGGTGTTGAAGCAGAGAAACATCAAAAAGGTGCAGGACTCTGAAGCGATGATTGCATAAAATATAATCTAAGTAATCAATACACTAGAAATTATCTTGCAAAGTGGAATCTTTAGAGTTAACAGATTCTTAACCATGGAATAATATGTGTAAAGGGTTCTGTATCCAAAAGCTAAATAATGAAACTAAAATACAAGAAGCGTAAAATAATTTTCTGTGGCTTTGTTCTGCACCTTGTCTCTGAAAGAGTATGAAATTTGCGTTACTACTGGAGACGCAGAAGAAACCAAGGAGAATGCATGGATTGTACTCGAGGGGAAGAAGTGCCGATCTAAAGAGTTTGTAATGGAGAACTCCTCAAAGAAGAAGAGGTTTTTACGGTAGGTATTTTCCTCACCAACTAGTTTTTTTTTTTCTGATAAAGCCTAATTTTGTGTTCCCTTAACAAGTAGGATAATCTCACAAGAAAAAAGAATTTAACCACTACCCAAAGTCACTCACAATAATAATATTGCAGTATCCTTACAACATGGAAATAGGCCCCAAAGTTAACAATAAAAATTTAAATCAGCTTAATTGTAAACATTTTCTTTTCAGGGGAAATGTTGACAGATTTGAGTTTTCGTCAAAGAATGTTGGCGATATTGCTGCCATCTGTCTGGGCCACACACCCAAAGATGGGAAGAAAGTGAAAGGGGAGGCTTACTGGCATGTAGAAGAGGTTGTTGTAACAGAAAAAGAGCTTGGAAACAAGTACGAAAACCGCTTCTACTCTTATAGAAAACATTCAAATTCTGCTAACACTCTAACAACACCTTAATAAGTTTGATTCTATGTAGACAGCAAACTTTACACCTTTCCTTTCTTGTCTCTTTAGGTACATCTTCCACTGCAATGCCCTTATCCCACTCTCTCCAAAGAGAGATGATCACCTGACCTTTGAGTGCACAAAGACCATTGAGAGTTTTGCAAGCAAAGCTCGTAGCTTGGTACCCGTCAAGTACGAAATCATCATCATCACAGGTGATGAAAAGGGAGCAGGAACAGATGCCAATGTTTTTATCACCATCTACGGCTCCAACGGAGATTCAGGCAGCCGGCAACTGCGGCAGAGGTTTCGCAACCTCTTTGAACGCGGGCAGACGGATCGGTTTGTGGTAGAAATGCTGGACATGGGCGATTTGCAAAGAGTACGAGTGGAGCATGACAACTCTGGCCTCTGCCCCGGGTGGTTGCTGGAGAGGGTGGAAATCACCAACACAGCCAATGGTGTCACCACAATTTTCCACTGTGGAAAATGGCTGGACACCAAGAGAGCGGACGGACAGATTGCTAGAGTGGTCTACCCAAAATACTGACAATCAAAACATTTCTGGAAGGGCCAAAAGCAGAAGGACTTACAGTACCTCGTATATCAAATAACCAAAACCATTCAAATTCGGGTATGTTTTCTTTAACTCAGGAACTGAGCATATTTCCATTAACAGGTTTTATAAAATGGGAAAAAGTTAAGGTAATAAGTTGATTGATCAAGAAATCTGTTAATGTGCCATTTTTTATCCCTAGTGCACAGAACTTTTTTTTGTAAATATAAATTTTTTTAAAGATTAAATTGTTTTATAATCACCTTGATAACTCATTTCACTGTGTTCCAGTGTCTTGTGGGTTCATAAACCCCAGCTATAGATTTTTTTATGTGACTGAAAATTGAAAAAGCCTTTTCAACTGAAGAAACACGCAGGTTTTGTGGTAATATTTTAGTGTCCTAAAGGAAAAGTTATTATTGTTAGTCTTCCTTTACATAAAGTATATAGGCTGTATACTGTAGGCTTTAATGTATAAAGCTTAATCTAAAAATCTACTGTAGATCCTTTTGCAATTGTCAGGCTTTGAATATAGAAATGAACTAACGGTGTCAGGAAAGGAAATACTATATTTTTGGGGCCATCTATCTTCTTTTTAGCTTTGATCCAAGCTCTTTCAGACTGTGGAGAAACCTTATCTTTGAGTGAATCAGTCCATATCTAACCCTAAACAATTCATCCAGCTCTAAATGCCATCAGACAGCCACAGTTAGAAATAAGATGCTGGATAATTTTTGCCACTGGGCTAAATGGAGAACATTAGTTAGATCTCCCATCATCACCTAATTGAATGTCATAACAAGTTATAGGTCAATTACCAGTTTCTTCTTTAGCCAAAACAAGATTAAAAAAAAATTGTTATGCCAAATATTTGCCATTAATTGAAATGTAAGCCACTTTTAATATTTTTTTTTTTAACCCATAAAATGTTGGTATTCATTTTAGCTTTAATGCTTCATGAAGAAATCCAAGAGAAATAACATTACACAAAACCACATATTTTCAATTTAATACAGTTTATTACAAAAAGAGCACATAAAAAAGGATAGTATACAAGCCATGAAATGAAATTAGAAATAATATGAAAAAAAAAGATTTTGGGCTTAGCAATGCAAACCTTAAAATCATTATGTCATTATTAGTAGTAAATAATAAATAAAGTACAAAATTCCATCACATGTGAATCTAACATTTACCTCTAATATTTTCACTCATTTCTTCATTGACACACTCATCATTGTTAATGCGCTATTGCTTTAATATTAATGATAAATACTTCTGTTTTCAGATAAAATATCCTATACTGGAAACATTGCGCAGTCACAGCTAAACAGCAGATTTTCACACAAGATTGGCGGCAGCCCTTTCACTGGCACATTTTGGCTTGTTTTCTCTTCGTGTTTGTTCTTCGGATTCAAGCAGCAAAAAAAAATCTACCTTTTTTCCCCCATAGTCTTTGTATATATTTTCACAATACACTATTAAACCATTGCGACCGTACTGGCACCTGAGAAAACATGCATTTTTAGAAAAAACTTGTGCTTTGTAATCCATGTCTTTTCTCTTAAACTGAGAAGAGCAATGAGACTGAATGTGGACGGATGGAAAAGTGAGAAGAAGTAGGAGTGGGAGGAGTACCAAGCATAGGGGGATGGAAAGTTAAGTAGATGGGAAATGAACACTTGAGTGCTTGAAAACACATCAGTGGAAACATGCCTCAAGCTATTTTACAAGTGACGCTTTGTGACTTTAAGAGTTTCATATAAAGTTTAAATGAGAGTAGATCTATTTTATTTTTATTTTTTTAGAGGGGTTCTTTGAAGAGCATATGAGTCAAGGTATTCCAAGGTTTAAAAGGTTACAATTCCACAACGAATAAAGTCTTCCTAAAGACATATTCCGAATGTCCACATGCAACTGCCTGAAAGAGAGTTTTTACACTGTGTCTTCGCTTACAACAAAGATTAATTTGTGTCCGAAAATATATCTGGTTGTAAAAAGTATAATTGATAAATAGAGAAGCGCTGCCTATCACTCATCGCATGGTTTGATTGTTTAGTTAGCAAGCAATGAGCAGCATATCTGTAGAGCCATTGGTTGCAAAATAGCTATTTGTGCATTTAGCCTAACTTAATCTTTAGTGGTATTAGAATGTTATGCATGTGTTAGCTTATTAAGATCAGAAAAAAAAGTTTTGCAGAATCAAAACTATTGCAAAATTAAGCAGATTGTTATGTTTTTTGCTAAAGTCTAAATGTGATCTGCCAGATAAGGGCTGAACTTCCAACATGGAGAATTTCATATTGCATGTGTAAAATCAGCAGAACAGTTTATGCATACTTTTTTTGCTGGAAGCCCTGATGAATACGCAGATCATATGTTTATTAGCAAGCCATTAAAAATTCTGGGTAGAGAATAAGCAAATGTAATTTCCTATGAGTTTCTATAAGGTTTCTATGAATTTCTATAAGTTACAGGATGGACTTTTTCCTCTTTATTTGCCAAGCAATGCTTATTTTAAATCTTTGAAGATCATGCATATTTGTCTTTAAAGTATGCCAGAATTTTCTCAGTTGACATGTTAAAACAGATTTTTGTTTTTTTTGGAAACACTAACCTCAAAATGTGTTTAAGGTGGAGCAATTAAAACCTTTTTGAAGGTCTGCCTGAATCAAAACACATTTTGTGTAAGTAAAAAGTAATTAAGAGAACTAAAAGGATGTACTTAAGCTGCCAAACTCCCAGTTGCAAATCCCAGGAGATTAGATAATAAAAATGCCATTACATTATGATCTATATATCAATAAAGACTTCATAAAAAAACTTCAGAAAATATCAACTAGTTAAAGTTTTAGTGTTGAAAATAAGCATGAATATTTCAAGATCCTATTAAGTGCTCAAAATCTCTTCACAGAACCCCACATCACTGAAATTTAAACCATCGCTTACGTAGAATTCACATGATTCCTTCTTCAATTATTTATGCAACCAATAAGGCAGGGTGGCATTATGGACTGACTGTTAGTGGTTTCAGTATTTTGGAAATATCTCAGAACACTGATAGCGAGGCACTTGTTATGCGTATGACTTCAAAGTTTTTGGAAAAAAAATCTAAGACTCCTAAAATCAAAGACAGATACAAGAGTGACAAAAAGGAACATGCTCCCAAAAAAAAAAAAAAAAAAAGTTAAGACTGTCCACTGTAAAAAGCAGAGCATATAAAATAAAAGCCAGTTAATTCATTAAAAGTATTATTATTATTTTTTTTGTTTTTTTTGCCAGTGAGAGGGTTCCGTATATCAAACAATTGAGTGCAAAAAAAAAAGATCACAAACCAAAGACCAGTTTACTTTGTTGCAGTTGTCCACATCACAGCATGGGGGATCAGAGAGATTGCATCAAATGGAATGTAACTAAGATCCACAGCACCACATGGGAGACAGACAGAGAGCAGGCTCAGTAGCTCAGTCTGGGACCGTAAACATCGCATAGCCAGCTTGTAAAGATCAAACAGCAGGGCTATTTTTTTAAACTTGTACTTTTTTTATATATATATATACTTTTAGTGTTCAAATAGTACAACTGCATGCAAAGCATTCCCATTTCAAACAATGCAAAAATGAGGTAATTGTTTTTTTCATAGCTTTTCTTGTGTTATTTCTAAATAAATAAATTATGACTCAGTCATTCTCTAAAAAAACTCTATAAAATTAAATACATCCCCACAATATCTACAATTAGTAATAAATTATGATTGTTAAATACTTAAGGCATTTCAGCTGACAACACCCTGTGTAAACTATGAAAACTTCATCACAGATGTCTCCACTAAAGGAGGAGGCAGAGTCAACACTCGCAGTGCACAAGACGAGAATTGAAAGGTCTGATCCTTTGCCATCACAGTGCATAGGACAGTGCAGGTCCTAGTAGTGATTTTTAACACATGGCTTTGTGGAACAGGGAAGAGGGGGGAAAAAAAGGGGGGTTGTTTTCCTGTTGTTACTTTACCTTGCGTCTGTGTGCACTGCAAGAGTGAGGCTGCCTTCGTCGCCTCACGCCCTATGTTTTCTAGGAGTACAGCATAGCAACCAGCAAAGCAACCACGAAGGGAGGCCTGTCACACAAACACACAGGATCAGTATGTAAAAAAAATGCTCCCCTCCCATTTAAGCACTGCATTAATCTATATCCAAAGCAATTCCAAGGAAAACAGCTTGTTGCTAGAACTATTGTAATATGTGCTTGCTCTTTATAGGCAATAAGGTAAACATCAAGATAATCCCACCCTCGTCACTGAAGGGCACAGGATGAACACAAGCTACGAGTCAGGGGAGCAGCCGCTGTCTGATGTTCGTTTTGTTAGTGTTGAGAAGAAGGTCAGAGCTCAGATTAACTAAGTCATGCACAGGAATCTTTGTACCCTTTCAATTAAGGTACGGTAATGCTGCCCGAGGTGACTTTTAATATCAACTACATAACATGCATTGCTAGTAGACTTTATTTTGTTATTTGACTAGTTAAAGTACAAAATAGGTAGAAGGACAATTAGGTCCTTCATTCTTCTGTATCTCTGCAGTGCATCATAGGCATGGGCCAGTCTCTAGTACTGAGGTTTAGAAAAGTTTGAGTTTGAGAACTGCTAAATTTTTTTATCCTACAGACTAAACTTATTTTACTGAAATGCCCAGAAAGGTGTTATGATGCCCCCTTTCCCCTATTTGTTGCTGCACACAGCAGATCAGCTATTTGGCAGGACTTTACCAAATTTCTTTCTTAATAAAAAAAAAAAAAAAACAATTTCAGTTAAAATATATATCATCATGATAGAAAGAATAAGCTAAATGAATAACATTGATCACTCAGATAATATAACTCAGTTTTAAAACATCAATTAAGGAGCTTAGAGTAGCATGCTTCTAATCAACCCAATACTGGCTGTGCCAGTATTGGGTTGATTAGAAGCATGCTACTAATCAACCCAATTAACAGCCACAGCAGGTAGCTTCATTAAGCAGGTTTTTTTCTCCAACTTCTAGTTTGTTTTATAGCTAATTGTACACAAGAGGCTTCATGTTTAGTCTGAAATCCAATTAGTTTTTTTTTAATTGTATTGTTTTAATAATCATACACAGACATATTCATGCAAAGCTCTGTCATGTGAGGTGCCGTTCACAGGGGAATATATTACTTAAAAAAAGTTACGTCTAATAAACTGTGGCTGAAATATTACTTTAGAAGTATCCACCAAATAACTTTTTTTTTTTTTTTTTAAGTTAGTAACAGAAATCCTGCAGAGGAAAAGCCTAATCTCACATTTTTGTTTGTCTGCTACAGACTAGATCAACTTTACATTTGAGGCAATTTCATATTCTGAAAAACAAAAAGGCTTTATTTAGGATTTTAGGTACAAGAACTAAAATATACAATACCTACATCTTTTTATGATTGGTGGTAACATATTAGAGCATGACATCCTGGTCAATCGCTTGGCATATTTCCTACCACGTCATTTCCTAGATGAACAAATATACAGATGCCATTCTCACACTGAGTATAAAAGAACAAAAAAGTAAATAAACCCAGATCAACATACTTTTTTTAACTCTCCAATTTCAACTGTAACAATTGAAAAAGCAGCTAAATCTGGTACTTTACCTAATCACAGCAATTTTTTTGGTCTTTAAAAGATGAAGGAGCTTGACTAATTATGAGTTATTTTCAGGAGTTTAAGTACATATTCCCCTGTGCTTTTATCAATATTGACATTGCAAAAGAGTTTTTGTTTGTAATTAAGAATGCTGGTCCTGATTGTTGCATACATAATTCATGCAAATAATGAAGCATCTACACTGTTTTAGGGAAAGATGGATGCTGGAGTTAATCTACTGAACAGAGTGAAAAAATATAAAGGCATTTGTGCTCAATTAGCATCTGAAAACTACTAGAGTTTGTCTTTTCTATAAATGATAGCTAATGCAAGTTTAAAAAAACTGATAAGTAAATATTAACAATATTAAAACTATGTTTCTAATGCTCGAAACATCATTTTTTTCTTTTTTCAGAAGTAAGTTGAGTTAATTGTTTTCATTCTGTCTTAAGCTAAAACAATTATTTAAAAGTTCTCTCTAATTACCATAATAAGTTCAAATCAATTGTTATCGTACCTCAAGAATCTCGTACTGGCCCATGCCTAGTGCATGATAACTTCTTTTCCTCGTCCCCATTTTTTTTGGTTTCATGTTGTATAAGAGCTCTGGCGGCTGCTGTATCTAACCTATGTGGTCTGAATACAGATATTGCCCCTAACTCTTAAAGCAAAGTTGACATGCCGCTGAAAATATTGGTTTAGTTAAACACACCAGGTCAGAGCATACATGCACGCACATAAACACACACGCACACGCACCAAACCTGTGTGTAGATCCAGGCTACAACGCAATCAAATGCATTTTTATAAAACATACCAATTAAAAAAAAACACTTTCTACTTATTTGTAACATTTTAAACACAAAACCACCCAATCACCAGGGTTCTGGTCACACAGGAGTGAAAGAGACCCACTAAAATGACAACGCCCAGGTAAAAAATACGGCTGTATTGCAAAAAGTCAAAGCTGTATGATATGATCAAAACACTTAGCTAGCTAGTGCTTCGACCCAAAAAGGCGATAGTCCACCAAATATCACTTGTTGGTTACTGCTACTCTACTACGACCACAAAGATCTTTAGGGTAAACATGGCATCCGAGCAGTTTAGTATCTGTTAAGCATATGTCTGTGTCAGAATCAGAGGAAAGAGAGAAAGCAGAGAGTTTAGTGTGTGATTATGTGTTTTCCACTGATCAGACAGAGAGTCATGGCTTTGAGGACATGCTACACAGCCCGTGGCTACCTACAATACAACACCACAACTGCAACAACACCCCACTCACAACCAGCAAGCTACAAGTAAACCCTGTGTACATGAGGAAAGTGTGTGGTTTTGGGTTCCAGTGTCGTTTGCTTCCCAGAAGGATGTGCTTCTATATAAAGAGAGTCATTTTCAGCCTCTCATGCTGTTCTAGCTTGGCTCAATAAAGCGTTAATTAGACAGGGTATTTTTTTTTTCATTGCCGCGTGAAGTCTGGAGACATTTGGCAAAGCACCCACTAAGGTGGGGGGAGGGAGGTTTGGAGGGCACACATGGACTGTGTCATGTGGGAGCTGACCGGCAAGCCAGGATGGAAGAGAGAAAGGAATCACACAAGAGTGAGTGAATCACAAGGAGTCAAATCTCATCAGCTGTCGGGGTTCAGCTGTGTTTCGATGTCAACCCGACAGATTGGACACTTCCTGCTGGTAGCCAGCCATTGGTCCACACAGCCCTGGTGGAAGAGGTGCATGCAGGGCAATCGCCTGGAAGACATAGAGACAGCAGAGTGGATTCATATAGACTCCCTTAATGAACATAGTTACGTGATAGTTTGAAACCTCTAAAGCCAGGGGAAAAACATTTGTTTATTCGGGCATAGAGGTTGCTTCTGTTCAGTCGTCATTCTCCACCCACTTACCTCTCAGACAGCTGGGACCCCTTATGCTGAAAACCAAGCCGCTTTCTTACCCCCAGGGTGCTGTTCTTATTCCCCATAAGATTATGTTTCCAACTTGGTTTGAGTTTCATGTCCATGTGCATCATTCTTTAAGGAATAGATCCACACTCTGAAGTTTGTAAAATATACAAATTTCAGTGTCTGTAAAATATAACCCTTTTTATTTTTATTTTTTTGTCCTGAAGTTTAAAAAGTAGTTGGCAAATAAAGCACAAATACTTTTGCCACAGAAAACAAGCCAACATTTTGGATAAAGAGATGGAATAATAAAGAGAACCAGGAATTTAATTGCCATGTGTTGACAAACATTATAATGTTTCAGAGCAGAAAAACATAAAAATATATTTCATAAAGCTGCTTTCACTTGTTAATAATCAGTTATGGAAATGCTTTAGCATTAAAACAAAGTTTTAATTTTCCATATCCATGCAGAAAAGATTTTTCTTTACTTTTATTTTCTCATCAAACAGTGACTTCCTGTAATATTTCAGCTGTAGTAGTTCATTTGTGGCCGTGCGTCTAATTTTAAGGCACATTCAGAACAAAAAGATTTTGTTCATGATGAAAAAAGATTTAAAATAAAGTGTCATTGATTTTTACTGAGATGGATAAATTGAGGGATTGGAATTGGGTCATTTCTTTCTCATCGTCAGCTACATCTGCTTCTGTAGTTGCCTAGCAACCGTATAGAACAAAGCATAATTCAGTGAAAACTGAGCAAACTGTCGGCTTTACACTTCTACCAACTTTGTGCATCTCGTTTCCATTTGGCTCCCAGAATTACAATTTAAGATTTATGAACAATTTGTTAATAGATAAAGCAATCATTAGACATTTATTGATCTCCTGGTTTAGTTCAAGAGGGACAAAAGAAAACTTTTCTAATTATTTTGCAGTTATAGAGCGTCACCTACCTGACATCCTCTCCATCCTCCAGCATGGACAAACAGATAGTGCACTTCTCATCCACGTCTGTTTCCTCCTCCTCCTCTCCAATCTTTAGTTGCAGAGGTTTTCTCTGTTAGCAGATCAGATCCCACAGAGATAAAAGCATATTTCACACTAATCTAAAATAATAATGCTTGTGCCTCTTTGTTGGTCCGATTATCTGCAATACCTTCTTGTATTTGTGTGGAAAAGTGAATCTTTCTATTGTTGTCTGGACTGCTCCCCTGCTGACACTTCCCAGTCGGTCCTCAAGCTGCAACAGCTCCTGTTCAAACAGGACATGTTAATTAGGATGATAACATACTATTAAAAAACAGAAATAGTACAATAAGGTGAGAATTTTTCTTATTTAAAGTGAAGACAGACAAAGCTGATTAGAAACAGACCGCTACTTAAGAATGCAAAGCAAGTAGATATTGATATTCACTGTTTATACATTTCAAAGTTGAAGGTTTTACCTCATAACTTTCCCGCACAGCAGTGGCGTGCCTTGAAGGATTTAAACTCTGCAGGGCCAACAGATGCAGCTGAGGATATGGGTAATTTCTAATTTCATGAACAACCTGAAAAAGAAAAAAAAAGCATTTACAGGATTAGATTAACTCAAATTTAGTTGACAAAAAATGGAAGATGTTGCCATAGGTATAGTCTATTACAAGGTTTGGCTAGCTAAAAGACAAACATAAGTATCACATACTGGGATACTTATACAAAAAAAAGGAAAAAATCAAACTATATACTGTAAACAGTCAGTGAGTTGGTGAATAGCTTAGCAGTTGCAGAACAGAGAAGAGTAAAACAGTAAAAACACACAACCTGTTCAATAAATTCATATTCCGTAGCTTTCGTGATGGACCAATCTTCATCTTCCGTCTTAGATTGATAAACATTTAAAGATTGCTGCAAACCTAACGCTATCAATATGAACAGTTTCAGTCCTAAATTAACTCATTTACAACTTTGTACTTCTGAAGTTTTCCTTGTTTCTTGCCTGATTTTTGGGGGGTATTTCTGGCATGTGATGCTCTATGTTATTTTGATAATTGCTGAAAAGTAAGTTTCTAATTCTATAATTTAATTCTTTAGTGTGTCTTTATTCAGTCATATCTTTCTGAAGGTTGCTGCTCAGTTTTACTTTGTGTGGTGAAGGGTTTAATTATGTCATACGTTACTAGAGTCCCTTTAGGTCAGGAGCATACACTGCGACAAAATATATATTTTTGTTTTTTTGTTAAGTCAGGACATTTCATATTTCACAAGAAACTATCAGGAGGTCCTCATAGGGTCCACTCCTCAGGGTCAGCATGGCTAAGAATAGTAACTATGATCACTTTAAATCTCAAATAATGATAGGTTAAACACTCTGTGCAGAGAATGATCAATGATCAATCAACAACACTAAGTGCATTGCAATAATCAAGATGGGTTGTAATAAAGGCATGGCCTAATTTCCTTAAAGGAATAGTACACCCAAAACATGATTAGCCTTCATTTTCTACTCACCCCCATGCTGAACAACACTCTGGAGTACTTTTTT